AGCGTACTTTGTACGAGTACGTTATCCACGACAATGAGCTGCCCGGGACGCATGAAGATCGAAGCAGACGGACATGTCAGCAAAGGCCATACTAGCTGGAGCTACCCCACGGCGCCGTCGCCGCTAGATACGCGATGGCTTTAAGCGCACTGGAGCAGTCACTTGATTGTCGGGGGTGTTGACTCGTTGAACTCTGGCGTCAAAGTTGAGGCCGCGGATTGGCTGAGACTGACCTGTGCGTGTGTGCGACCATGGCCATGCCACGTTCTGGCCGCGCTCCCGCCTGTCTGTCTGTTGGATGGCTGCAGCGAATCTCATGGGACGGAAGCCGGGGAGCACGAGAAGGTGGAATATGTCCGAAGGCCGCCATTGATTAGGCTGCAGATGGCCGATGATTGGCTGTGCGGGGATGGAGTGTAGACGGTCGTTTCTGTGACTGTCTGATGAAGGAATCAATTCATCGTTGATTGGTGTTATCACGAAGAGAATCGGGAGGGAAATGTCAAAATATGCAAATCATCAAGGTTATGAGGTGTTGTCAGAAAGAAAGAAAATTCCTTGCTGAGACTTCAATTGCTGTCCTGTCGGGCAGGTGCCACCAAGCTGAGCATTCCAGTAATAGCAGGTCTTGTGCTCTTGGTCTCAAGGCAGGTGCAACTGGGCGAGTAGCGATAACGGGGAGATAAGAGAACGGCGAAAGTTGCCCTTCTCCTGTCTTGACCTCCACACTGACGCTTCTCTTTCACCTACAGATGCTGGAATAGGTACGTAGGCAAGGGAAGAAAGAAACAAAGAACTCGAGTAGCGCGCGGTGGCTGCTGCAAGCTTGATTCCTTATTTCACGCCGCGGCTTTTAGCCACTTTTCCCCCTCGAATTCTCCCGCTACCCAGCAAGCCAAGAAAGCGGGGAGATCTTCATCTGCCGACGCCAACTGACGCTTCTTCTCCAGCTTCGGCTATCTCTCACCCGAGGCTTTCATTCGCAGCAACAATCACCCCGAGCCATCGGACGGTTGAAATCAGGAGTCTCCGCCTGTTTGTTCTTCGTTTGACATGCAATCTCACAACTCTACTAAACAACGTATTGTCAAATCACACGAAGGAGAATAGCGGCCAGCTCTTCGCAAACCAAACGACGCCATCCGCATAAACTGACCCTTTCTGGGGTCGTTAGCCCGACGACTTCGCGGGAGCCCACAGCTGCACACAAAACGTGCGCCGAAACCCCAGAGGAAGACGAACAGCAGCGAACAAACGCCACTCGTTCTCGCCCGCCACGCTGCTCGGCGAGGCCGCATGTCAACAATTCTCGTCTAAATTTGGCCAAAATTCTCGAATCTAGTCTCGCAAATACGTCGTCGTGACAAACAAATCATCGATCCTTGCTCCCTTTGCCGAGAATGACGGATTAGTTGCCTTGAGGCTAAGAGATGTGGCAGAATTGCCCAAGGGAAAGTCTTGTGACGTGAAACGCAGTCGCTGGACATTCAGCGCGTGAGAGCTATTGACTATTGGGCTCTTATCCTCTGTCTTGGATATATCAGATCGCACAGATACATCGATGCGTCCGCTCATCGGCGTGAGCGAGGTTGCGTCTTGGTCAACACAGACGGTGCCTACCTAATTCCAAATCCTGCGACCATCGCCCAACAAGAGCTGAGTCTACATACAGGGCCTGGTACATGATATTGCCTTCTGTTGCACAGATTTGAATCCTAGTGCGCCAAGGCAACATGATATATCAATATATTTTAGTGCTGCCCAGATTACAGTTGTGTAGGCCGCCAGAGCCGTCCTCGTCGCACCGTCTTGCCATGGCCGCTTCTCCGGTTGCACCACCTCGTTCTGCTACTCTCTGGTCAAGAATTCATCTGCTCCGTGAACTCAGGCTGGACGCTGACTGTTCGATTTTTGCTCAGCTCTCTGCAGAATAACGGGGACACCCCGGGTTGTCGCTTGGTGCAAGAGTCCGTCTGCCTCGCGCCCCTTTTCGTCCAGTGTGTTACAACAGCATGCATACTTGAGCACCACCTGGCCAGCGCGCCATGATTGATACTAATAGTAGAACAAATAGCTGTGACAAATATTACTGAATATTGCAAGCCACCCATTACTGGGCTGTAACTCGACATGCAGTCTATTCCAGGTTGAGTGTCGGCCGGTCCATGCGGAGAGAAGGAGGCAAACGCACAAACTCAGCAGCGAATGAGCGTCTGATAGGCAGCGACGCCTCTGATCCCTGCGAAAGGCATGTAAGCGTCTAGACTTGCACAGCAGCAAACGCGAAGCTGCTCCGTCAGCGGAGCTTGCTGTCGTGAACGCTTGCAGAATCAACCAGTGGGCAGCAAAGAGTGTGGCTTTTGATGGATTCTGAAGGATCCACGCACGCGTACCACCACGTGGGTTGATATCTCACTGCATTGTTGAAGTGGCACATTTTTGGTGAAGCTATGGATGAGTGCAGATTGAGCATACAGAGGCGTTTGCTGAGTTTGTTGGCTGGACGCAGATTGCCAAGCTGGATCCTTGTGGTGACCTGTAGGAAACGGTTGAGCTAAGAATATGACTCGTGTATGTTCAAGTCCAAGAAGTTTTGAGTGGAAGGTATCTCTTGAAGGGCTCACATTGGTGGTGATCCATGTCCAAGGGGGTTGAGGATCATGACGGCTGGCAACATGTGGTGTACGGACAGTGGGATGGCATCCCATAAGATCTTACAAGGTCAGATGTATGGCTCAGGATTACCCAGTATGTTAAGCTCAGTTTGCGTGATTTTAAACCAGAAGGAAGATGACTCTTCGCAAATCTCCTTGGACGAAGAAGCAGGCGCGGATGTCTGGTTTGCAGCAAACGGTTGGCCATGTACGGGTTAACTTCTGAGCGATTATCAAGACGATGACCCGTCATGAAAGAAAAAAAGACTAAAGTTAAAATTGCAAACGTTGTTCCGAAATGCCGTATGGCAGAAAAGTTGAACCGCGTTTCGTTCAAGGAGCTTTTGTCAAGAGGGAGGAAGCAAAGTGAGCAAAATGCGGCAAGCATGTCGCCCAACAAGAGGGCAATGTCATTCCATTCAGGCAGTTACATGATTACTGTCATTGGCCTGGATATCTAGTTTCGAAGACTCGGACCTTACTTGGGCAGCCTTGAAGCACTTTGGCCGCTATTGGGAAAGCTCACCTTGGATGCATCGAAGGATTGCTGGATACCCTAGACATGACCGTCTCCGTACACACCCTGTGACTTCAAATAACATCAAGTGACGTGGAAGCGGATGATTGGCAAAATACTGAGGGTGCTGACTGTCTATAACACATGTCTCCAAGGAGGCGTGGCTCATAGTTGCGTGTTGCCTACTATCAAGCCGAGTTATCCTAAGTTACTGTACAGAGTAGGGCAGGTAGGTAAGGGACTCACTGAACACTGAGTTTCCACGCGCACCAAACGCCGTTCAATTGGGTTAGGTATTCTCGCATGGATGAATAGTGTTCACTGTTGATCAAATTACATGCATGGCTTCATACTCAAGCGTCTCTATTTTCGAGTCAAGACACATCATCATACCTCCTACGGCGGGGAAAACAGACCCTTTACAGTCCAACAACACTTTACCAAGATACTATAATTTCCAAATCCTCCTTGTGAGTCTCATTAGCTAAATAACACACAATACAGACACACATATATATCTATGGATATATGTCAATGTGTTTTATTACATGCCTGCTTCTTGCACCGCAGAATCATCCCAGCATGTTTAGCTATCAAAGAAACTTGCTGAGAAATCTAAAAGGCATTAGAGCCAAGAAGAAGAGAAACTCTTTATTGCTATTATAATTGAAAGGTGAGGATCTGAGAGAGAAAAAAAAAAAAAAAAGAGTTTAGCACTACCCCACGGATTATTTCACATAGTTCTCATCAAGTAGCATACATATACTGTTTATACTTGGGACTGGAGCAGTGGGCTCAAGGATTACAGTCAATGAGGATGCGGCCTAAGATGATTTAAAATAGGATTTCCCACAATTCGAATAACTTCGAGTCTTCTAGCAGTGTATGCATCTCTGCTAATACTTCCACTCTAAGGCAAACAAGATAGATCTTGAAAAAGATCCAACTCTGTTCAAACTTACCATTAATGCTATGACAGTAACAACCGTTATACACACACAACAGCGCCACAAGTAATATAACAACCTCCATAGGTAGTACCATCCCAAAGAAAATCACTCAAACAAGCAAAAAGATACGCATCAACACTCCAAAACGTCGCATCCACCCATTCTCGTCGCAGTCATCAACATCATAGAGCAGCAAGTCGAGGCACCCCAGCGCTACTCGCTCACTGTATAACCATTAACAAGTGCGCCAACAGTCAACTTGCGGCCTTAGCTCAGCTGGGAGAGCGTCAGACTGAAGTTGTCTAAACTCCGGTCCCATTATCAAATGCGATATCTGAAGGTCGTGTGTTCGATCCACACAGGCCGCATGTTTTTTTTTTTTTCGTCTTTTTTTTTTTCCCCTTCATTCTTCATGTTACCTACCTAATTATTATCATGCTTGATTCCTTCGTTGTCTTTTTGTAGTTCAGGGTACGAGCACGAATACTTTGAGATGTCCATCGTCGTCAAGTTTCTAGAGCATATTAATGTTTGTAGTACCTACCTAGGTAGGTATCGATTGATTCGTAATGCCATTTCTCTTATTCAACGTAGGCTAGAGGCGTCGCATGGCGGATTGAGTCGCGTGGTGGCGCTCAATCCTCCAAAGCTTTGCCTCAACCTCAGTCTACATGAAGACGGAGAGATGAATACATCCCGTCTTGTTATCAGTCGCAGAAAAGCTGCTGAATCAACTCGGGATCGGTGGGCTGTGAAAAGAATGTGTATCAGAAAGGCAATAACAAGCTGGAAAAGAACCAGCTCTGTCACAACACGACGACAGACCAAACGGCAAATGAAGCGATACGAGGAACCAGCAATACTAAAACCTCCAATTCATTCAGGTAGGAGAGAAAAGTCATATATATTGTATATTCAAGCGTCATCTGCCAATAATGTACTTTCCATCACACACACACGCACACACACAAACAACCCAGCACTCTAAATAGCCAAATATCGTTTCGCCAGTATTATCAAGAAGAAGGAAGTTTGTAAAAAAAAAAATTGGGAAGGAGCGTCAAGAAAAGATGGCTTCTGGCTATCTCGACCCCCTCCCTCTTTGATAGACAGACGGGAACTCGCGACAAAGTCTTGCCTAAACACATACTCCCTCTTTACAGAGGAGGGATATGGGGAACGGCAAAGCGGTGTCCGCGCTGGGCGGCCTTGGCGCGGTGCCTGGAGCGCTGGCCGTACTTGGGCAGCTGGTCGAGGGCGGAGGGCAGGGTGACGTTGGCGACCTCGAGGTCGATGGACAGGCTGGGGACCGTCTCGAGGGGGATGGCTTGTCCGTCCTTCTGCGCTTGGGGGTCAGCAAACAAATACACATCTTGACGGTGACTAGTCGAAATAGTGACAGTGAGTGGTCGGGAGTGGAGAGAGGGGGGAAAACTTACAGAGAGAATCTCAACCTCAATGTCCTCGGTAAAGGCCTGGACGGCGTTGCGGAGACCACCGTGCAGGATGCTTTGCATGGGGTTGTCAATGGTGAAGCCGCCGTTGACCGTGCCCTCGGCGGGGAGCTTCATGACGATCAAGCTGCCGGCCTTCTGGCCGCCGACGTAGACGTTGATCTCGGCGGGGCGGACCGTCACCTCGGTCACGTTGACCGAGATCTTGGCAAAGTAACGGGTCTTGATGAGGTTCTCGACGTCGGTGACAATGTCGCTCAAGAAGTCGCGCGGGGCGTTGCGCTTCTTGCCCGAGTTGGGCCCGTACAGCTGGTTGATGATGGTGGTGACGCTCGACTTGATCTGGGCCTGGGACTTTTGCCAGTACTCGATGCCCTGGTACGAGTAGCCCATGCCCTGGATGCTCTTGACCGTGTTGGACGTGTGGAACTTGCCGTTGGCCTGGTAGAAGGGCTGCAGGGGCGAGTCGGGGGTGATGGTGCTGCCCGACTTGGAGTTGAAGCGCGACTGGCCCTTGTACGAGGCCGTGAAGAGGGGCGACGAGGGCATGATGGCCTCCCAGAAGGCCCACATGCGGTCGACCTGGGCGTGGTGCATGAAGCTATTTTGCAGCGTCAGTACAGACTGCGTTTGCCATCGGTTGTTGACAAGATGACTCTTGACGTCTCGATTGACTTACAACAGGGGGTCGAAGCCGGAGTAGTCGGGGGCGAGGAACTGGGAGCCGCAAGCACCGTCCCAGTGGATGGCGTTGTGGATCTGCTCAACGTTGATGCCGGGGCCGCTGGTGGAGGCGAAGTCGGCAAAGTTTTGAGAGTTGGTCAGGACATCGTACTGCGGGCCGCTCTCTGTGTCAGTGACGAGCTTTACTCAAGGGGAAGCTTCCAAAGGGAAAGGGGGACTACGTACGATCCAGGACTTGTAAGGACGGGCAGCCAGGTTGGAGTTGGCGGTGGCGGGATAGCTCTGCTTGGAGGCGGCGCAGCGGACGGTGTGGTCGTTGCCTCCGCCGGTGAACTCGCCGTACGAGCCGGTCAAGGACATGCGCGGGAAGTAGTACGTCTTGAGCGGGTTGGTGTAGTCGACGGTCTTGGTGCTGCTGCCGCTGGGGACGTTGATCTTGAGCGTCTGGGGGACGGTGACGGCGGGCACGGAGCTGTCGGCGGCCCAGTCCCAGTAGGGGGCGCGCAGGCTGGCGGCGGCAGCCTGGTACTTGGCGCGGACAGACGGGGGATACGAGTTGGCGATGCCCTTGGCGACGGAGACCAAGGCTTGCTGCAACGATGTCAGTTGATGTTTGTATGAGGTCAAAGTCCAGCGTGGTCAAATCATACCTCAAAGAGCAGGACATAGGGGCGGTGCCAGCTGATGAAGAGGTCCTCCTAATGAAACTGTCAGAGACGATGATTTCCGGCTCACAACAAGGGCGAAGAGTTCAAGTCCATGAAACTCTTGCGCCCTCCTCGATGGACAAAAACACATACACCGTGAGGGCAGTAGCCCAGCCAGCCATCGCCCGACTTTGCTCCGGCCTTGTTGTACTCAATGTACGGTGCGCCGTGGATGCCTAGCTGGTGTTACTAAAAGCTCCGAGAGTCACGTCGCCTCGCAGGAGGCCGAGATGTATATTTACCGGCAATCTGGAAGAAGCTGTACGGGTCATGGGAGTCCATCTTGGACATGTTGTACATGGCCTGAACGTAGAGATCCCTATTCGCACGCACATGTGAGCCCCCCTCTCCTCGAATCGTCAAGTCTCCCCCTGTTCTCCATGCTGGCTCCTGGTCCATCCAATAGCTCTTGTCTCTCTCTCTCTCTCTCGCTCTCACATACACACACACACTTTCTCTCTCTCTCTCTCTTGTCCACCTCTTTTCATCCGCTTTGTACTTGTCTCCCTCTTGTCTCTTGACTGAGGTAAAGTGTGGTGGAAGGAGGGCGTCACTCACCATTGCGGCCCGGACTTGGCCAGGTCATTGATGTTCTGTCTCAGCGGCACGGCAGCACCAGGAGAGACGGGAACACCGGTGACGGGGATGTGTGTCGTGCCCTGTGCGAGTGAAACTGTGGCCAAGGCCAACGCCGAGAGGGACGCTGACAACAGCATGATGGCGACGATTTGTTGGTGTCTTTCTTTTTTTTTATCTCCCTTATTTTTTTGTTCAGGTAGAGACGAAAAAACGAGCGTGAATCCTCAAGGGAGGATGCGAAACGAGTGTGTGCGGGAAGGAGGCGCGCAGGACCGGAAAGACCGTCAAATAAAAGAGTGAAACCGAGAATTCGAAGCGAGAGACTGGGAAGTAGAAAAAGGGCGCGTCTTTCTGTAATTGCCCCCTCCTTGTGGGAAAAAAAAAAAAAGGAAGGTTGAGGAATGAAAGGCGAGTTCCCTTCCCTAATAAAAAAAAAAGAGACGAGGTCGGCTCTTCCTGTCACTTAAGAGGGCGGGTGCAGAGAAAAGCCGAGCCCAGAAACGGTTGATATATATATAAATATAACCTTGAAACACCTCTTTCGTAAAACAAAAGGCCCGGGGTGAGGATTATACCGGCAAATCGTGTAATGTAAGGTAGTATGGGGGTTGTCAGGCAATAGTAGGTAGGTAGTAATAATAGTAGGCAAGTAGGGAATAGGGATAATAAAGATGGGCTGCTGGGGGGGGGAGGGAAGGAGGAGGAGCAAGGGATTCAGCCAGGTTCCGGTTCAGGGGTGGGAGTGAGTGGAAGAGGCAAAGAACCGCCAGGCTTGTGAGGGATTGGGTTAATATTTGATTTGCTCTTCTGGCAGCGTTTCTTTGGGATTAGCTGCCGGATCGTCCATCTCCACTCACACGAGCTGCTGCTGTTGTTGCTGCTGCTGCTGTTGCTGCTACTGTACCATGTGCAGATGGACAGAGACGGACAGACAAACAGACAGACAGACACCAGGCCGGCGCTGGTGCTGGTGCTGGTGCTGGTGCTGGTGCGAGACCTGGGGCTGGAGCTGGAATTGGTGGTGGTGCAATACAATAATAGTAGTAGTAGTGCGAGTACACTCACACACACACACACACCAAGAAAAAAGGGCGCCCGGGAAATCGGTAGCAAGCAGGCAGGCAAGGCAAACCCCGAAGCTCGAGGGCAGTCGGGTGATCTGATTGTACAAGTACTCTCGTACGAGGCCGGGCATGTTACTCCATGCCCGCCCAGCGTGGCACGAGCAATGTAGTAGTACATCAGAGTCCCTAGCCGGAAGTCATGGCCATCATGGGTGTGGGTTCGTGGCATGTGGTCCGTCTGTCTGAGGCTGCCATCTCCGTCCCTGAATCGGCCTTTTTTTTCGCTCGTCCGATTCTCTCTTGCTTCTGCCTCCACGCGGCAAAAACAGTTGAAGTCACTTATTGCCCACACAATGCCAATGCTACATAATACACCTCGTTCTCGTACACAGACTGCAAGGTACGGCCACAGCCCCTCCCCGGTCCAGTCAGCACCTTGTGTCAAAGGGAGAGAGAGAGAGAGAGGGGCCAAAGAGCGAGAGCGAGAAACGAGCGAAAGGGGATGGAGCCCTCCTGCGTGGAGCCTCTCTCGCTCTCTCTCTCATGCTTCTGCAGCAGCAGCGCCACGCCCACGATACGATACGAGGCCCTTGGCCAATGCAAATCCAATCCGCATCGTCCAATCCCGCGCGTCCTTTCAACCAGCTTCGGCTCCAAGGGCCCTGTTCCCTTGCTAGTACACGTAGTATCCCAGTCCGCCCAGGGTCCGGGACAGGCGCCGTCGAAGAAACGCCTCCCCCCTCCCATGCCCGAAGCGGGAAATAGGCCTGGCGTTCAACAAAGGAGATTTCAGGGCAGCCGGTTGATGGGGATGTGCGGGGATGGCGGGCTCCATTTTGTTTTTTTGGTTCAGGCCTTGTTGCCAGCCAGCACAAGCGACGAGGAGCGAGGTCGAGAGGAGAAGCAGCAGCAGCAGCAGCAACAAAGACGTATTACGAGTAGCTTGCGGATCGGACGCGGGCGCGCCAACGATGTGAGCGATGCGCTGGTCTGAGACACGGTACGCCGGCGAAGCGCCGACCATCTTTTTTTGGTCTTTGGGATCGAGGCTTCGTAATAGTACTGGAACTCACTCTCGACGGCTCTGATGGAGTGGCAATGATTGGCAGTGGATAATCCATACATGGACGGTCTTCTCCTCTTTTTTTTTTTTGTGTGTGTGTCTTTCATCTGCCATTTCTGCCATTTCTGCCATCTTCATCTTGTTGAAGGGAAGGGTTCATCATCATCATCCCGGAAATAAGGCAAATGCTGGAGCCGTTTGTTTCGAAGGAAGAAGGGGGGGGGGGGGGGGGGGGGGGGGGGCCTTCTGCTTCTCTTTTCCTGCTCCCTTGGGCATAGCGCCGAGAAGCCGAGGCGCGGTTGATGACAGGCCAGGGATGATGGATCGCCGGATGGAGGCGCCCAATTGCGTGTGTGTTGAGGCGTTGTTCTAGTTGGCTTCCCGAGGCAAAGCTTGGAGTTATGCTTGTGAGCTTTACGAGGACGGGCTGAAGCCTGGAAAGACAAATGGTCGACTAGTATCTGCAACGAGGCCTTACATGTGCCTGTATTAGCAGTATCACCTAGGTTCTGTACTTGATCATCACCATCTTGGGTCAACACGTGTAGCCATCATCCCCCATTGTGCCCTGGCTGCAGCAACGTCAATGTCAGACAGGCATGCAGCCCAAACCAAACACTCCCCCCCCCCGGCCACTTGTCGACCACGGCCTCGCAACGAACGGCAATGCAAGCGATGGCAATCACCTGCGAGAACTCGTACGGCACAGTACATACGGCAGCCTCTCCATCCCCCTCCATCGGCCTCGCCTCACCGTCTTGTCGATCCAATGCGCAAGAGTGGACCGAAAGACGCACATTGTGTTTCGTCTTGTGTCGCCTTGCTAAGCATGACCCATCAATCCATATAGTAGTAATAGCCCTTTTAGCATTCAAGCATGTGAGTGAGTGTGTGTGTGTGTGTGTGTGTATGTGTGTGTCCGTGATCGTCGAATGATGCTACATAAGGCAAGGCAAAGTAACAACTAAGGCAGGGCGTCAAAATCTGGATGGAGGAGGAGATGGACGCCCAAGGCTCTCAGCTCCGGCGCCAAGTCGACGCTTGCGGCCAATTAACGGCGGCGGAAAACGGTGCGACAGGCGAAAAGAGCTTGTGGTAGCATTTTCACTGATTGGATCGTGGATTGATTCGATGACACTGCATCTTTGTAGTATTTACATGTACGGTAATACGGTAAGGTAGGTATGACTGCGTCTGGTTTTTCTTGACCCTGCATCTGCTTGAATATTGGCCGTGCGCGTGATAATTTTAGAAGCACAGCGAAGCAGTCGAGATTTCTTCTTCCACCTTGATACCTTGTGATTGCTTCATACCTTACGCTTGGCCGAGTTGTGCCTGGTCTTGGTCTCGGATCCGGCTCCCTCGGAGGGTCCGGTCCTGGCACTACCTGCCAGACCCAGAGCGACTATCAGACAATAGTTTTGGCGATTGAAAATGGTCAATGTCGGGCAGTATACATGTAATCTACTATAGTAGTACTACCTAGACTCTGCCAGTGGCTGCTGCTGCTATACGACTCGGCTAGAGTTGGCCGTCATCTTGGCATCCGTAAAGCATATAAATATACATGTAGGTGGGTAGACACACAACACCACAGAATTGCCTGCATCCAATATCATAGCACTTGCTTCCACCGTCATGGACGGGACAGCTTCAACCACTAGCTCATCACCACAACTGAACTACGTTACGCCACCAGTTCTTTGTAAACTGAAATCCATCATTTTTTTTTTTATTTCAAGCAGATAGTCTGTGTACTTTTGCTTCCCCCCCTTCTCCTCCCTACCGCGCTTCAAGTGAGACATGCATGCATGCACGCATCGTACACGCGACAACCCCCTCCAATCGGCGAACAACAACAACCACAACCGAGCAGAGTGGCTGAACAATCAAGTGTTCTCTTGTAGTACCTCCAATTCCCTTGCTTGCCTCATTATCCTTCACATATGACCTTTTCCCATTTTTTCCAGAACCCTTTGTTCCGCATCTATTTTTACAGTCAGGTGAACACCGTCACACCCTTACCTTGAGACGCAGCCAACGTGCCCGATCCCCTCCCCTCCCCCCCAGTCTGTCTTCTTTCTTCACCTGAGACTTCACACCGACGGATATCACTACTACATCGAGCAATTGTTTCGTTTCAATCTCTTGCCATGACAAGCACCGCCCATCACCGGCACGAAGCTGCCGAGGGGGAAAGAAAAAAAAAAAAAAAAACAAGGGTCGTCTTCTTTCGACCTCTTTTGTCGACAAACACAGCAACTCCACCTGCCGATGAACTGGTTGCCTCTGCCTCTCCATAAAGTGAACATGCCTGCTCGTGGTCAGGATAATATACCGAACCTGACAGATCAGCACACTTCGTCACCCCATAACACGGCAAAGAACCGCCCCCCCCCCCCCCCCCCCCCCCCCCCATATTCGGAGTTTCTCCCCCCTTGTCCCGCCGTCAATCTCAATCATCTAGAAGCCCACTGGAACTCGTCCACGGTCCTTTCGCTTACTGCCCATCGTCATCATCGCTTCTTTATTAACCCCCGTGCAACGATCATGCGAGCTTCGTAAATTACCAGTCAATGCCATCACCCATACCATACATGTACCTTGCCTTACCACTTACCTAGGTACTTTACCTAAAGGTAGTACTTTTGTGGTCGGTGGTGGTGCAATGGCATCCTGCAGCCATTGAAGCATATTCACCACCTTGTTGCATCACTCTGCATGAGCACTTGACGCTTCACATCTCACTAGTATTACCTAGTAATAGGTACGCAATTCACAATAGTCTACAGAGTAATATTCCACGCCATCTACTACCTAAGGTAGGTAAGGTATGTTGCCATGTTAATACTCAACTGCACGGAAAGGTTCTTCTTCCTCCTCGTGCCTACCATCCCCGCTCACCCCAAATACGAACTTGACGAAATTGCGACTACATCCCCTATATCTTGGCCTCCCAGCGAGACGAGCAGGAACCTGAGTATTGTTTACGAAAATGAAGACGAGCATGAAAGTCGATTCAGCTACTCCTAACAATCGTACGTTTCTCTTTCAGCCATCTCGCTGCCCTGTTCTATTTGCTGTTCTTCTTCTATCCGCAGCCTCGGGCTCAGGTTGACAGAATCTCCCAGTGATTGGGCCCCCCTAAGTCGAGGTGGTAGTGATAGCTCCGATCCTTTGCATATGACATTGACCAATCAACTGATACGAATTCAATTGAATCGCAGCGATTCCTGTATGTAGAAGCTAAAATCAGCCGCACGCATCCGATCAGATCAGCTGAAGCAAACAAACTAAAGGCATCAATCATCATCCGTTTTATCTACAGCAACATCGTCAGTCACCCTTCAGCCCATACTCGCCTCATGACCCGAAATCTTCTTCCCCCCATCTTCATTTTCCTCGCGACCCCTCATGCGTGGCAAAAGCACAAACGGACATTAAAACCCAAAAGCTTTCCAACCCCTCACAGCTCGTTCTTGTTTCCTTCTCAAGCCATACTCAATCCCTTTAAGCTTACTTCGTATTACCTCCCCCTCCGCATTCGTGGCGTCTTGCACTTTTTGTGGTTGGCGCCGCCCGCCTCCCTTTAAGCCTCTACCGTTGTGCTAGGCCGCCTCGTAAAATGTAAAACCTGCCTATGTATCTCCCTACCTACCTTACCTTAGTAGGTACCAAACGATGACTGCTGGTTGAGCCATGGCGTGTGAGCAACAACTCACTGCACTACTGAGCTTCTAAATTCAAGCCGACCACCCTTTTATGTTCCAACCCGGCTTCGTTAGTCGCGCCCTTTTGACGTCAAAGGCTCTGAACTACTACACCCTCATCAGAACATGAGCATCTCGTACCTACTACCTTACCACACAACACCATCATCATACCTTACAACAGGACTAAACCGTCCCTTCCAACCTTGCACCTCGTATTTCCCCAACCCAAACAAAGAGCTTTTACACAAGAATCATGCGGTATGACGCAGAACAATGAGAATCTAGCAAAGCTTCAAAAACCCACGTGGTGAATTGAGATTACATGTGCCTTTTCCCCCCTCCCTCTAATAATGTCGCACGTGCATTTTGTGTCTCGACCAGCCACTAAGGCAGTCTAACGTGGCGGAAAGGTTTTCGAGATGATCAGCACTTCTGCTACCATCCAATCGATCTTCGCACAACAATTTGAACGGCGAGGTTTTCTTGTTGCGAAAGCTATCCGAGGAAGAAGAAGATGATGATGATGCATGTGCTTGTGCTGGCGGGCAGCAGCAGCAGCACAGGGTGGGTTCAGTTCAAATTGGATAGCTGAACCGAGAGATATTGCCACGTTATTGATGTAGTAGTATCCTCTTTCAGAAGGTTTTTGGAATCTGGAAATTTGCATGTATCACACAACACGAGTTGGAAAGAGAGAAAAAGGTTGCAGCATACAAACAAGGAACCCCTCCCCCTTCCCCCTCTTGCTTGGCTGTGTGATACCCATCGCTCCCCTTTCGAGGCCACTTCCGCCGGCCCAGTGGACAGCTACACGGCGTCAGAATCAGCACATGTTTCGTAGACACAACATGTCGTATTCTTGGCCAAGAAATCAACCACACTGAATCCTGCGCATCCTGAAAGCCCTAGTAACAGACAAACAATCATGAAAAAAAAAAAAAAAAAAAAAGAAACATCTTGTGCCCATACTCCCGCCCTTCCCTTTCCCCTCCCTTGACCTCTTGTAGTACAGAAACCGTGCGAGGCTCTCTCTCTCTCTCTCTCTCTCTCTCCTCAGCCACATGTTTGCCAAATCGCATCTGCCCTTCCAAACACAAAAGAGAAAAGGAAAAAAAAAAAAAAAAAAAAAACAGCGGCAAAACATTTGCCGGTTTCTGTGCCTTGTAAAAAAAAAAAAACAATGTGCTTAACCCTACACAATGCTAGTAATGCCAAACAAACCAAAAGAGAACCCTATCCATGCCAGTTGTTGTATAGTCGTAACATCATTTGAGCCCCCTCCCAATGCTTCTACGGGAAACCGATGCTGTAGAGATTCCAATGCGCCTTTTGGTCTATCTCACAATGACTAGCTCGTCATCGTCGTCGTCGTCTTGGAGAATCACCTGCCGGTCGGCCAGATTCTTCTCGGCCAAGTTGCCAAAGCTCTCGCGCCCGGCCTCCCTGATGCCCTTTTCTGTCACGAACCGCGTCTTCTTCCTAAGCGGGGGCTGTTCCGGCTTGAGCTTCTCCCCGTCCTTCATGCTCGACAGCTTGTCCTTGAGCGCACCGCCCCATCCCAGGCCCGTCGGCCTGCTGTAGGTCGTGCTGCTGCTGTTACTGCTGTTGCTCCGCGTCATGGAGCCAGTCTGAGAGCTGCCTGTCCGTTTCCTCTTAACGGGACTCAGGTGGATGTCTCGGGACCTGTCGAGGAGGCCGAGAGAGCCGGCGTCCGGCCTTTCAGGCTCCGCAAAGGGGTCGGCTGTGCTGGACATCTGCTGGCTCAGGCTCATGCTGCTGGGTGCTAGGCCGCCGGCGTCGCTTCGGGATCTTGAACGCTGCCTGTACTCTCTACCGGCGGCATTACCGACCTGGCCGAGCTTCTTCATCATCTCGCGCTCCTTCTCCTTGGCCTCCATGCTTCGTCGTAGAAACTCGGCCTTGTCCTTTCGATCCGAGGGCTCCCTGTCCTTGCCGTCGAGCAGTTCCGCAGCCGTATGTCCGCGTGACACGTACCAATGCGTCTTCGTTTCCCAGTCGTAGTTGTTGGGCTTCTTTGGCATAAAGATCTCTGCCGAGTTCTTGCCCTGGAACCGGCTGCGGGCGCCAAAGCCGGCCGAGTTGACTTCCATGCGTGTCGCCCGCTGTTTTCGAATGGCTTCGTTGGAGTGGAACTCGCAGTACTGCGTCCGTTTCTTGTTCACCCACGACTTGCACGCCTCCCCATCCTTCTTGACCGATTGGCAGAAGCCCAAGTCGCGAGCCGCCCCGATTTCCAGGATCGTATCCTCGTCGGAATTGATGACCAGGCTGAAGCGCCCAGTATCTTGCCGTCCGGGGGGCGGCGGCATCACGGAGGGATTGAGGATGGCGATGACGGTGCCTTCGGTGAGCTTCCAGTACCTGGTGAAGCCCGTATTGAACAGGAACAGGTCTACTTCCCATTCCAGATCAACCAGAGACAGTACCATGTACTTGCCACGGTCTTCCTCCTTCTGCCCGTTCTTCCCGGGGACAGGTTTGTGTGCTCGAGGCTCGGATTTCTTGGCCACAATGGCGAAAACGACAATGTCCTCCTCGACATCGGGCAGGGCAAAGTCTGGAGCCTTGACCTCTCGCAGGAGATCCTTGACGTTGAAGACTTTCTTGCCAGATATATGCCTGGCAACCACTCGATGGGGGAGGATTCGCTTGGACAGGTGTAGACTAGAGTAGGGCTCAAATGCGCCCTGCTCCTCCGTCGATGCTTCGCTGGCCGTCAGGCTGTTCGTGCGGTCGCGGATCGACGGCCCAAACGGAGGAGGGTTGCTGTCCCTCTCCGCAGCACTGCGCAGATCAGAGGCCGTCCTGGTCCGTTGCAACGCTGGGGCAGCCGGCTTCTTGCCCAGGACCTCGTCTCTGCTGAAAGACGGGGCAGGCAGAGGCTCATCGGGAATCTCCACGGCGTTCTTCTTGTACTCCTCCATCTCGTCTTTGCCAATGGCGAATGCGCTGGTCCTCAGTTGCGATATCCTCTCTTGCCTTTCGGCACGCGACACCTCCTCTATCCTTGCGGACGCCAGACGCTCATTGAAGCTGAGCGGCCGGACTCCTTCGGGCGACCTTGTTCTCGACGGGCTCGTCGCCTTGGACCTCTGGAGAAACGATCTCTGGGCCGCTCCATCGGCGCTGCCCGTCCTGCGAAAGCTCGGAGCGCGCTTCAGCGAAACGTCCTTTGCCCGCAAGCCCTTGTCGATCCCCAGCAGCACCCTACTTGGCGATTTTGGATCGGACTGAGCTTGCACTTTCCTGATTGGAGAGGCAGGAACCTGCACATTGGTCTGTGAAGACGGCCGAGTGTTTTCCGACGTTGGCGGCGTTGTCCCGCGGGCGCCACGCTGTGCCTGGAGAACTGACGCGGCCGAGTTGGAGCGGGAATGCCTCCTGTCGGGCCTACCCTGGGCGGCATTCTCCTTGGCCTTTTGCAGCTTCTTCAGCTTGAGGCGGGCCTGGATCTCTTGTAGCTTGAGCTGGAGCGTCTCCTCGTCATCGTCGTCGTCGTCATCCATCTGTTCCTGAAGCGCGCCGGATCGGGCCATGACGGAGGCCAGTGCCCTGCCGGTGCTCATGGATGGAGAAGGCGAGGGAGAGGTCTGGTCCATCATTTCCCGGTAGCGCTGGCGGCCCTTGGGGGTGCTCATGAGGGCTTCGTGGGGCGATCGAGGAGGCCAAGCCGTCTCTGCTTCTTGCGGCACTGGCAGGCGGTCAGCGACGATTGGCAGCCGGCGCGGCGAGGGCCACTCACCGTGGGCCATGGCGATGGTGGATTCGGGCTGTCGTCTGGCGGCGCTGAGCTGCGCGTGCTGTCCTGCGCCTGTGCCCAACGATGCCTGGGGGGGTCGTATCTCAGGCACGGCACGACACGGCAGGGCACCGACGGCTGGCCCTGGCTATGTATGCTTCGTCAGCGCCGCGGGCCATACGGAGGCGGCGGGCTGGTTGCGGCCGCAGATGGAGGCGCGAGGGCTTCTGCGACGGTTCGGGCTTGCGACAAACGGCAGAGACGGCGGGGGAGGGAGGGCAAGATGCGAGATGACGGGATTGGTTCGCCGGTGTTGGCACAAGCAGGAAGCGAAAAAAAGATGATGAGATGGGAAAGATGCTGACTGCGCGCTGTGGATGGCCGTCTGCGTAGCTGCTGCAGGTATCTGTGGCTGCAGCGCCTCGTCTCGACTTGTCGCTGTCTCTGTGGTTGAGATGCTCGGCTTATGGAGTTTGGGTGCAGAGGCGATGGATCAATGCATCCAATCGAGTTTTTGATGGAGCCTCGAAAAGATGATGCGCTGTTCGGGCACCGCTTCCAGGATCCCGCCAGCCGATAGGGCTCTGGGCTGCTGTAGCTTCAGAAGGGCCCTGCCTGTAATTATGGAGCTGGCAGCGCTGCGGGGACTGGGCTGCTAGCCGCGAGATCGGTACCTGTGCTGTACGATAGTGGCTGCTTGGCCTGCCGGGGTGGGGCAGCTGGGACCAGGCCTAAAACGCGGGACGGGCGCAAAAAACGCGTTCGAACCGCGTCGCTTTTGAGTTTGGCAGGGGTTGTGTGTGGCCTGGTCTCGTGCGAGATGCGACCAAAGCTGTGATGGCGATAGTCTCAGTCTAGACAAAACTCTCTTTGGATTGCATCAATTGCTTTGTCAACATCTGGTTGGAGTCGCGAAGAGACAATTGAACTCGATATACGCCCAACAGAGTAAACCAATTGGGCCCTACCAATACTTGACAAGCTTGACATCAGATTGCCCGCCATGGCGAGGACACGGTCAACCAAGCCCTCAACAGCAGCTCCGGCAGCTGATGCCGACTCGAGCAGATCAAAATCAGCCATTACTCTCGTCCCTCACTCCGGCGAGCCTCCCAAGGTCTTTATCCTCCCGTCAAAGGCAACCCCCGAAGCTCGAATCGTCACCCTCCCCAACCCTCGAACCTCACAGCCGTCGCGATACCTCGCATGTCCCGATACCGGCATCTACGAATTCAAGCGGATTGCCGCTCCGAAGTCTGAACCCCGAAGCTGGCTTATCGAAGCATCTACCGACTCTGATCAAGCCAAGACTGGAGACAATGCCAGCGCAGGCTCTCAGGTGACAATGGGATCGGAGCTCTTCGTCGCCACTGCTCTGGATCCCCTCTTCTTGGTTCTGCCCGCTCTGGCCGATGCAAAGGCATCAAAAGGATCAGAAAAGCCGAAGCGACTGTTTTTGTCCAGCGATGACCACTTAGACAAGCTGCCGCAGGAGAGCTCGCATTTATCCGAAATTCTGCGTTGGGACACAACACGGCGGCTGATAGAGAGCCGGATGAGCGCAGTTTGCGACACGGTCGACGCCGGGGATGAAAGCATGTTTCGGCTGAATGAGGACAAGCTTCTTGAAGTCATCTACCAGAAAGCCAAGAGGATGAGCAAAAGCGGCCTCCCGCCAAGCATGGAAGACAAGTTTGTGAACAAAGTTCTTGAAGCACCGCTCATGCATCGGGTGGTGCGAACCGAGAGCCAAGTCACCAGCAACCCCAATTCAGGAACATCCACTCCGCAGGCCGATTCAGCGACATCTCAGTCCACAGCATCAAGTACAGAGACGGACGCTTCATCCGTTTCTCAAACAAGCACGGCCGCAACATCTATTGCCGGGGAGCAAGCAGACGAGACCGTTACCAGCGCTCTGCAAGCCTCACCGGAAACTGTCGAGTTACAAAAGTTAAAGACGGCTTTTGAATTCATCTGCGCAAGCTATATTCCTTCTGGACTGGCGGATACTCTCAGGCAGAGCTTCACCGGGACAGGCGGGCCAGTGGATTTCTCTCCCCTGAATGACTATCTCGCAAGCCTCGAGAAGCTGCGGTCCGAAACAATGGCCGTCAGGGCGCAGGACTACTCCCGCAAACGAAACATGGACGAGGAAGAGGACGAGGCTCGGATGGAGAAGAAGAGGAAGATGGAAGAGGAGAAGAAGAAAAAGGCGAGCGAGAGCCGTGGCGTCCGGGAGCTGAAAAAGGTCAACACCAGTGGGATGAAGAAGCTGAGTCACTTCTTCCAGAAGAAATAGCGTGCGCGAATCAGCAATTCAGGGTATCTACGTAGTAATATCGACATCGACATGCGAGGAAACGGAAAGGGGTCAAGCCGGCACAGCTACTTTGCGCTGCCATAACGACTCTTAGTCGTTCCAAGCCCCCTCCCTCTACCAGAGGCACTCGAGGTGCCGCGGCTACTCGAAGAAGCCGAAGCAGTGCGATATCTTGAGCTGCTGGCGATTCTCGACGACAATGAAGCCACCCTGCCCCGTCCTCGAGCTGCTCGAAGGCCGGCAGCACCCCTACGTGCTCCCCGAGCAGAACTCGACGCGGGCAGCTTCCTCCGCTGTTCCTCCTCCTCGCGGCGCCGCCGAAGCTCTTCTTTCCGCTCCTCTTCCTCTGCCGCTCTGCGCGCTTCCTCCTCTTGTTTCCGCAGTTTTTCCGCCTCGATCTCGGCCAAGTCGTTTGTTGCGCCTTTCCATGTTGGATCGAGGATGAGGCGCTGGTTGTGTTCGGTCTGGGAAAGGATGCGAGTCCATGTGTTGAGTAGTGCGGATGCGTTTCCGACAGTCTTGTTGACGGACTAAGCATCAAATGTTAATATAATGTAACGACGTGGGCTGGATACCAAGGGATCATCAAAAGGTCAAGACTTGCATTCATGTTGCCGCCTGCCCGCTGCAGAGTGCCAATGACGCCCTCGATGACCTGGTTGATGCTTCGCACGCCTTGCAGCTCCTTTCTTAGCATTGCCTCCCGATCGAGCGGCTCTGACCGGTGGTCGTTTGCTGTGGGCGTCTTTGGGGTTCGCGGCGTCCTGGGCGTCTTTGGTGTTTTCGGACGAGACTCTGGGGGTATGTTTTTCACGGGTGAGGTCCAGAGGTCTGGTTCGTCGTCAATCTCCATTGGGTCAGACATGGCTGCGAGGTTTGCTCGAGTGATTTAGCAGAGATGAGCGAAGCTAGGAAATATCAATAGCATCAATGATTTGACCGAATGAGAGGTTGCTGCGCGCTTCAAAGTGACGTTATGTCGTCTGTCGTGTCTTCAATTGTCTGAGTGGGGGAGTTTCTGCTGGGCAATCGTCAATCCGTCTTGCTGATAAGCTGATACGGGCGTGCATGCGAGAACTAGGTACAGGTAGGTAGGTCGCGACTTGGAGTTGTGCACGGCACAGCACAGCACAGCACAGCACAGCACAGCGCTGTGTTACAGCACATCCTGCACTGCTGCCGTGGTGATGGCCAGGCTCCGTCAGTGACCCGCAGCCCCTGGAGCGCCAATGGCAGCCGCTACAGGGCGGCCATTGCAGTAGGGCTCCAGCGCAGGGCCGGCTGCTGATTGGCTCGAGGCTGCCAGGTGGTGACGCGAAACGGACGCGTTGTGGTCGAGCCACCCTGGAGCGGAGCCCTCAACGCGTCTCTGGGGGGGCCTCGTTAGCCCGCAACAGCACCCCTCTAGTGCAAAGTACAGGGCAGCCAAAGGGAGGCTGGCCCACCCTTCAGTGGTCGGCACCTCAGTCCCTTTGTCCACTAGGGCCGGCAGCATTCCAGCACTTGGGCCGTTGTCCCCCCAGCCTCTCGGATTCCCAGCGCTCCCACGTCTAGCTCCCGCAATCCTGCTCTCCTCCTCTGCCACCCATCACCAAACATCGTCACCCGATATCGCCGCATCATCGTTTTACTCGCCTTGCCGACTATTGCTCGCTCTCGCCCGTCCGCCCTGCCGTCGCTGTCGCTCACAGAATCTGCAAGGCCGAGTCGCCCTATGAAGTTGTATTAATTCCCTCGCCGTCGCCGTGCACCGCTTTTCGCCGTCCGATCCGCTGCGCCTTTATTTCGTTTGTGGCTGTTAGTGTTTTCTGGCCGTGTCCGAGTCCGCGCTTCTGCTGCCGCGACAACACCAACGAGCATCCCGCGAGGACCGCATCACCGCAGCTGCCATTGAGGAATTGCCGCTGAGCTTCATGGTACCGAGTTGTCGTCGCGTCGAGACCGCCCGTTCACGCTCCAGTATCTGTATCCTTTGTTTTTCCGGATTGGATTGAATTTTTTCCTTTCCTTCCTTCACAATGGCCGCCGTCGACGCTGCACCCTCGACGCCTTCTCCTCCTTCTTCTTCCATCCGAACGCCTCCCGCACCTCGCCTGGGATATCACGACAGCTGGGAGCCGTATTCACCACGCAAATCCGCGAGACTATCTGCACAGCGCGCATCCGCCAGGACGCCCTCGCCGCCGCCAGCTACCCGCCCAGCCCTCGCCTCGCCTCGCACCGCAGCAAAATCCAGCGCCCAGAGCTCAGCAGCCATGGCCTCACCGGCGTCTTCACCGCGCAAGAAGCGTCAGCCTGCCGCCGACTCTGTGCGACGCGTCACCGCGACCCTGACCGCAGAGTCCACCGTCGCGTCAGGATCCAAGGAAAAGACTGTTGCCGGTCGGGCTGTCGCCTCATCTTCCCTCCCGCTTCCCACGCCTTCCAAGACGCCCCAGAAGCCGCCGAGTTCAAAGGACGTCGCTCAGATTCAGGCCTTTGCCCGCAATCTGTTCCCTGTTGCCGAGGAGACTGAGCTGGCGAGCCCGCGCAAGAAGCGCTCCAAGAAGTACTCTGCCGTTACGCTGGAGAGCTTCCGGGCTGAAGTGGCCGCGGAGGACATTGAAATTTTCACCGACTCTCAGGACCGCATTCCCAAGAAGGACGACAGCAAGTCGAATCCCTTCATCGGCAATGCCGCCAGTGCAGAACCCTCCAGACGCCGCACTAAGCGCAAGATTCACGTTCCTGGCGAAGGCTCCCAGTCGGTTGACGAAGTGTCTCGCCGTGAAGACGGCATGATTTACGTATTGTGAGTACACACCCGGACAGCTTCGACTTGCGGTGGTCAAAGAGATTCTAACCCAGCGTTTCTAGCCGTGGCAAGAAGTTTTTCCGCAAGTTCTCGGACTTTGACGATGGTGAAGAGGACGAAGAACTGCCTTCGGATGTTGAGGCACACTTCGCCAAACCCCTCACGCGATCTTCCATCAAGCCCCGACTTCTCTTCCCCGCCAAGACCCCTGCTCCCAAGACCAAGGCCATGCTTGAAGAAGAAGAGGCGGCAACTGATGTCGAAGATGCCGCGGCACCGGAACCAGAGAAGCCCTCGGCCGTCGTCGAGACCCCCGTGGAAGCCAAGCAAGAGAGGGCCAAGACGCCAGACGCCCCCAAGTTTGCGCCCGTATCTCCGCCAGAAACCAGGCGAACCACTCGGTCGACCAACAAGCTGGCGGCGGAAACTGCCCCGATCAAGCGCACCGGCAAGAAGAGTCCCTTTGACTCGTGGATCCGAACCAAGGAGCACACGAACCGATCAGGCACGAAACGCGCTGCTGCAGAGCCGCTGGCTTCGACCCCCGCAAAGAGAACTCGATCCTAGGCGCTGCAGGAGACGGTGTTTGTCTGCTTCAGTCTGTTGTCTTTTGCCCGACTATACCATAATAGCTGTTTCCCTTTTCCTTCCTTTTTCTTCTTCTCGACTTGTTGTTTTTCTTTTCTCATTTTGGGACTGCAGAGAGATGAGCAAAGCCAGTCGGCTCCGCTCCGACCTGTGGTTGTGATTCAATCTTGCACTTGGCATGTTGAATAGGTATCCTCATCCGTGACAACCGCGAATGGACATGGAGGGAACCCGGTCAGTCAGTTTGGCGTTTAACAGGCATTGTGGATATGTGTCATCCGAATAGCAGATGCGCTACTGGAAAAGAGATTACAGGTTATGTCACGATGGTCTGGCTCTCCTATATTTCATGTGTCATGCTGCGCGGCTGTGTTTGGCTTCATGTTGTGTATTGAATGTACGTACTTTTTTTATCTCTCGTGATTATGGGAATTGAGTTGAGATTTGATGTCGACGAAGACGTGAATTGCGTGTAATAATGCCTTGTTCGGTGGCCTACATACCGTACCACACGACTCCCTCTCTTGTTCTCTTTGATATCAATGCTGGTTCATCACGTCTACTAAGGTATCAATACCTGCATGAATGCCAACAGTGTCTGTCTTCCGTCCTCATCAACTGCTTGTGCCGCTTCTACCCCGATACATATACGCACTCACTGTAGCAAACCGCTGTTATCGCTGTGCCGTCCACTGTCTTGGTGTCTGGTCCCCTCTAGCGCTGCCCCACGCCCGTCTGCCCCTCCTCGGCGTTCCGACTACCGGCAACCTTGAACTTTTTATCGTTGGATCGATCTTGAAGCTATCAATTGCGTGCTCGCCTTGGGCAACCCCGAACCGGCCTCAGTCCTTCGCTTACTTGGGCTCTGCGTGATCCTTGTCGATCTACTTAGGGAATCATCAGTTGCTCTTTGTCTTCTCAGACTCTCTCCCATATCACAAACCTCCACCGACTCCCGGTCCTAGCAATCGCCTTCTGGGAGTTCCCACGCCTCCACGATGCATATCCTCGTGTCCAACGACGACGGGCCGCCGTCGCCTCACTCCTCGCCCTACGTCCACTCCTTCGTCCGACACCTCCAGAAAGCAGGCCACACCGTCTCCGTCTGCGTCCCCCACACGCAGCGCTCGTGGATAGGCAAGGCGCACCTGATCGGCCAGACGCTCAAGCCCGTCTACTACCGGCCGTCTGCCCACAGCCACGGCGACGACGCCGAGGGCACGACGCACGCCCGGCCGTCGCCCTCGGGGGCCGTGGAGGAATGGATCCTGATTGACGGGACGCCGGCGTCGTGCGTGCAGATTGGGCTGAACCACTTCTTCCAGGACCGGGGCCCCGTGGACCTGGTCGTCAGCGGGCCGAATTTCGGGAGGAACAGCACGGCGATATTCGCCCTGAGCTCGGGCACGCTGGGGGCCGCGCTGGAGGCCGCGGGGTCCCGGTACAAGGCCATTGCGCTGAGCTTTGCCTTCTTCTCGCGGAACCACGACCCGGTGATTATCGATGCGGCGTGTCGGCACAGCGTGAGGGTGATTGAGTACCTGTATAAGCAGTGGCCGACGGATGGCAGCGCGGATCTCTACAGCGTCAATGTGCCGCTTGTTGAGGGCGTGGAGACGCATCAGACTGTGTGGACGGATATACTCCAGAATTACTGGACCAAGGGCGGTTGCTTTGATGCCGTCGACGGTTCGGCTGATGACGAAGATCTCGAGGAGGAGAGGATACGGGAGGGGCCGGGTGGTGAGGTCGACGGCGAGGCTGATGTGGCGAATGCTCCAAAGGGGCATACGCATAAGCACTTCAAGTGGGCGCCCAAGTTTGCAGAAGTCTACAAGTCGGTGGAAGAGGCGGGGCCGGGATCAGATGGATGGGCTGTCAAGGAAGGGCAGACAAGGTGAGTTGCTGCAGGTTTTCTCGACCTTGTTTCATCGCCGACATTGATCTATGGCTAACGATTTTCTCTATCTACAGTGTCACGCCTCTCAAGGCAAACTTTGCTACCTGTGCGGGAGACAGGGCGACGAAGGAGATTAAGCTGTGAGTACCCTCATTGTGTTTATGGCGTTGTTGGTGTTTTGGACCTTTGCTTTCCTGGCAAGTTATGCTGGAGATGTGTCACGATTGATGGTTTGGACTGTTTGTATACTCGTGCATAAACGAAAGATCAAATAGAAGATATTCTTACACACAAAGTTTCCTTCAGTCCTGATTCTACAGAAACTCCTACAACGCAGTTGGCGGTGCGGGAGAAACCCAAGGAGGAGTCGAAGAGCAGGATTCAGGCCATTGTATCATACGACGACCCCTATGTCCAGCCCCTCATCGTATCTGCTCTCAACGCCGTGCTGCCCAAGGACAGCTTCGACCTCATCACCGACATCTCACCAGAGAACTTCAACTTGTCAAGCATGCTCCCTTCGCCAGACACCCGCGTTCTGGAAATCGTCCCTTACGAATCCATCGACTTCGAGTTTGCCTCCTCCCACACAAAGACCTGCCTCATCAACAGCTACATGATTCGAAAAGCCCTCATCAGGAAGCACTACCTTTCCGCAACGCTCGACCACTGGGCAGCCAAGAACCCCGATTCCATCCTCAAGAAGCATCTGAAGCGTAGCGAGGCATTCGAGGTAGACTACGCCGAGTTTCTCGACGATGCCCTCGTCGAAGCATTTGATCTCCGGGAAAGCATGGACCGCAATGAGGATAAGGAGCCGAGTGAGCGCGAGTGGTGGATTCTCAAGCCGGGCATGAGTGATCGAGGGCAGGGCATCCGCCTGTTCAGTACCATGGAGGAGCTGCAGGACATTTTTGATGGCTGGGAGGAGGAGCGACCGGATAGCGACGACGAGGAGGAGATTGACGACGACGACGAGGCCCCAGGGGGCGGAGCAGCGGACGAGGATGCCCAAGGCGACTACATCACAGCGTCCCATCTGCGTCACTTTGTGGCTCAGCCATACATCCACCCTCCGCTACTGCTGTCTCCAGTAGGAGGTCACAAGTTCCACATCCGGACCTATGTGCTCTGCACGGGCAGCCTCGACGTCTACGTGTACAAGCACATGCTCGCCCTCTTCGCGGGCAAGCCCTACACCCCTCCGTGGACGGCACCCGACGACATCGAGGCCTTCCTGACCAACACCTGCCTGCAGGACTCGCCCAACGAGAACACGGTGCGGCGGTTCTGGGAGCTGCCGCTGGAGCGAGGGGCGCTGGAGGCTGTGTTTGAGCAGGTCTGCGGGACGACGGGCGAGGTGTTTGAGGCGGCGGCGAGGGCGATGCCGATCCATTTCCAGACGCTGCCGAATGCGTTTGAGGTGTTTGGGCTGGATTTCTTGGTCGATGCGGATGGGGAGGCGTGGCTGTTGGAGGTGAATGCTTTTCCGGATTTCAAGCAGACGGGGGGCGATTTGAGGGGCATCGTGGAGGGGTTTTGGAGGGGGGTTGTGGGTGTTGCTGTGGGGGGGTTCTTTGGGGTTGATGGGGTGAAGAGGGAGGAGGAGGATGGGGATATGGTTTCTGTGAGGAGGGTTGATTTGGGGAGGAGGTGAGTTTGGTGATAGGTCTTGAATGGGATTCTCCCTAGAGGATGAGGGGGAGGAGGTGATACATTCATGGGATATTGGGGCACTTTGGGTATGGTATAGATGTTAAAAGGGGGTTTTGAAAAATCTCTAGATGTAGGCATGATAGATATGTGTATGTTGATTGGATGCTTCTGACGTGAGTTGTCTGTTTACCCTGGAAGAAGACATATCTGGAAGGTTTGTTACAACGATACACGACCTTGCTGTTGCTGCTGTTCTCGTCCAGTCATATGAATTGCAGCATCTTCGATTACTCCTTGTCTGATGTAAGTCATTGTTCATGGCCAGAGTCTGAAGCAACAGCTCTGGCTTCCGCAAGCAAAGCTCACAGCACCTGCTCATGTATCTCCGCATGGCGAACAAGGCAGCATCATCTCTAGCGACGTTCAAACTGCAGCAGGGTAGTCCTTACAATCAACGCATTACCCTACATCGCCTACGTTGTAAGATGGCTACCCTGTATACAAATCTTTTCGATTCTTGCTTAGGTAGACTGAAATCTCCCTGGGGTTGAGATTCCTCCACACAAACAATTTCCCCGGTATGAAGCATGCCGATTGCTTGAGACCAAAGGTATGTAGGTGTATACGCCTCCTCTGCATTTCAAGCGGTGAAATAACATTCTACCCCATGTACCTGGCTTATCCTCTGTAAGTCTATTCTCAAATCACACAGCTTTATTACCATGCCATTTACTATGCCAAGGTCCACGTAGCAAACACTAGCCAACGCTTTTACCATGCAAGAACTGCGATACATTTGCCCGCACACTATTCTCACGCCCTCACATCAATATCTGCCCGGATCTTCGCTGCAAGCATGCCCTGTGGACGTACCTACGTGTCATCCAGGTCATACTAGTAGTGCCTGGTATCAGACATTGTATGTGTGTATGCATACAAAGCTGCACAGCCTCAATCATGTGGGTTTTCAGCATCTGACACGAAGCTGAGTTAGTTGCTTCTTCAAAGCCCGCTTGCCGCTGCTCCGTACAGTTGTCCAATATAAACATGTGGCAGCCAGATCTTGGAGAAGCTAACATGCTAGAGCGGGACCCTGCTGCCTTGGGCAGAGTCTCGGGCGTCTATTGCGGCATCCCAAAATTGGTGAAGGGCGTATTTCTGTATGTTTGGCTAAGAGAAAGGTTGTGTAGCGGATCCTAGGTACTCTTCTGAAGCGAAGGAGGAATGTTCAAGGGGAAGTGTATAGACATACGTCGTCAAAGTGGCTTAGAGGAGGTCGTCCTGAGATCGGCGTATCGCTCGTTGCACAGAGATGAGGAGTGGTGCTTGCTTGGGTCCGGGAGTGGCTTGATCTGATCTGGTGAGCTCGTTGGGCATAATGCTTCTCTAGGATTTAGTGGAAAAATGAGCATCATGGAGAAGTATCCTGTGCCAACACTTGCCGGGATAGATGCAAGTAAGCCTTATTGTACGATCTTTGTGCCCTCCTCGGCATGATGTTGCAGGGCTGTCATCTGCGAGGCTAGTTTCTTTCCAAATACGCCATGAGGGAGGTCGGAAGGATCCCGAATGTAATCCTTTTACCACGAGCAATGACTGGTTACGATTAGCCGTCGAAGCGATACGCTCGAGTAGAAAGGCCATGGCGCCACTTACTGAGACAGGCTCTGGTTCACTCCTACCTGGACGTGCAGTCTGCCATGCCGTCTGCCATGTTCCTGTTCTCTTCTAAGGAAGAGGAACTGCAGACGGACTAGCCTTTCCAGCGCATCCCAGCAGAGGCTATGTTGAAACAGGAACCGTACCGTAGTAAAGTCGAACAAGCGATGTATATCAGTCTACTGTACATGGCGGTTCTGGACGACCCTGTCGTGCTTTTGGGGGCATCTACTGTTCGTTGAGGACATCCCAGGCGTTCATCGAAAAGCCTCGTAGGATCTCAACTCCCAGCGGTTCAAAGGCTTGGCTTGAGACACAAGATCCTTCGACTTGACTTATAGCCTGATCCACTGATATGCCTGACGGATACGGCCAACGGGGTCTACGTCCATACGGCCAGAAGCGTGGACTCTAGTCCAGTCTGCAAGAATATTGATTGTCGAGAAGTTATCAGATAGACAGAAGTAGTAGAAGTTGTTCATGGAAGATAGTCAATACCGTGGCATACTTCGAACCGGGTAATAGAAGGGCCTAATAGCCGTCTCTGACCGCCGTGATGCTTCGGCATCCATAGCATGCATCGAGCCAGGTGTATGCGTGTAACGCACCACGACCTGTCGGCAGCTGGTGACGTGAAAGCGCCCAGGCATTCTGCGAGATAGCGTTTGACGACTTGTTCAACGCATCCAATGTAAGTGAAGACACATTCTGCTGGTGATTGGCGTTCCAATTAGCGAATTTCATCTCTATCAAACCCCATAGGCCTTTTTAGTTCCGATTGACCTCTTGTGCGCAAGGGCATAACGCGACCTACGCTCGCAACAGGGTAGACACATCGTTGATGGTGTGATAGACGGGACTTTCTGCAGTGACGAGGCTGTGTAATATTGGACAAGGTTGAGGTGCTCCCCCGCAGCAATCAAGTTCCCCAACTCAGAAATCTGCCGGAGAGGGGAAATTCGCTCAAGTCTTCCCTGAGGATGGACACCTCCTTCTCCTCTGTCTTTGGAGACTGAAGGTTATCGGAGACGTGGATCATCGGCGAAAAGTTTGCGCGACTGGACTGCATGGCATGGCGATATCATCTCAACGAAGCGGTAGCAATCTCTGGAGCGACGATGGTAGCTTTTAGTGGCCCCCGTAGGAGCGGGCAGGAAAATAATTCGCTCCTGATGATATCAGAGAAGATGCTCAGCCTCAGTCCGTTGTTTGCCGAGGAAGAGGACTCTAGATTGACCAGCAGCGCACCACGCCAGAACCTGTGGAACACACCCAACTTGCCCTCGGCATATTGTAGGTATAGTGACAATGCCTTGGGGTTCTCCTTCGAGAAGGCGGGTGGATCTTGTTTTCTTCTGTTCTTCTGGCGTGTTCGGTATCACCCCAAGTGACGGCAGATAGCGTCAATGACATAGCATCCCGCGACGAAGAAACAAGGTTGAGCATCGCGGCAGCTTGCAGAAGCTACTGTAAGCACAAACACACCGGCATTGATGTCCATACGCTCTTTGAGATCGTAGAAGCGCCCCGAGGCAACGGCCAGGGAACCCCCTGGACCGCCTCCCCATACAGTGCGAGGGCGAAGCACCGGAATATGGCTTCCAGCCAGACAACGTGCGCCTGGCTGTGGAGTGAGAGGGACGCTATGCCGGTTAGCATCGTAGAAGCACACTTTAACTGTAATAAGGTGTGCCGGGGGTCGATGCTAGCCGACAGAAGCCCGCTAAGCAGCTGCGAAGATGAAGCTTGGCGTCTTGCTCCGACAAGCGTTGGACTTGATCTTGTCGTGGCATCCTGGTGCCTTTTTGGTCTTGGCCTCATCATGCCGGTGAGCTTGGCAATGAGCTTGGCAAGACCTGTGGTCCATCTCGAGATTGTCAGTGTAATTGCGAGTTTCCACCCCCTGGGAGACCCTCCACAAGAGGAAGACCGAGACTCTGATTGTCTGACATTGCTTATTGACCCGAGGCGAGGCGCAGTAGCGGAAAAGTCAAAATAAGGGCGACGGGAGGCGTATGAGGTGATGGAATCGAGGAGAGAACCTGGATCGCGGAAAGCTGCTGATGACGGTATGACGACGTGATGTTCCCAGATCCAGCAAACAGCGTAAGAAGCAATCAATGTCACGTACCGTTCCCGGCTCTTGCATCTATTTCCGGGCGCCAACGATGCCTTCGACAGCCTAGAGGCGCGGCAACGATGCTCAATGGATGGCATGCCAAACAAGATGCTGATGCTCAAGGCATTGGGCGGCTCTAACAAGCCTAGAGGCAATTGTAAGATGACCGGCGTGTTGTTGTTTAGCGCCACGTCAGAAATGAATCAGCGAAAGTAGCGAGAGACAGCTGAATTTCCCTTTGTCTCATATCCTCGTTGGGTCAGTTGAGGATGCTAGAATGAAGAGATTGTTGAATTGCTCCTTGGTCAAACAGCTCAGGGGAGGCGCTTCGCCGGCCGCGTACTCACCAAGGCTGTGCTTCAGTGGGCAAAAGCCACGACTGAATGATGATGAGCAACGATCGGGGCATAATAGGGGAGCGCTCAAGTGCTGGGGCCTTGGCGCGTGGAGATGAAGTGCTTGGCCCTTGATATTTCTGGGACGTGGCTGTCTCGTAGACATGGGCGGCCTCTCGTGGCGGTTTGGAACGGCTCCGTTACGACAGAGACGATGTGGTTTGGCGCATGAGCGAGCTGAAGATCGGTGTGATCAAGGTGAGGACGAGTCCAAGTCTCTCGGCGCTTGAGGGGCGTGATGGCCCTCCGTGGTGGTTTGGCGTTTGTCCGCGTGGAACAACTTGTTGCCGCCAGCACGGCTGGATCGGGGGACATGGGCTGCCGAAGGTGAGGAGAAGCAAAAAGCTTGTTTGGCACAGCCCCTGGAACTAGTAGACGAGATGGACGTTGCCACGGACGGCCGCCCATCACATGACGATCAGATAAGGCACAATGGCAGCGGGTGAGGCAACGATGCTGCGCGGCTGTGGCTCAGTGTCGGTTTGTTGAGACAAGGCTGCGGCCGCCTCACGATGCTGGACGGATGATTCATCACGGCCATCGACGTTGAAGAGGCGTGATTACGTGGACACGCGACCGGGTGGTACAGGTACAAGAACGGCAGGCAATGTCCGACGGGCTCCAACGGCCAAGGTTCAGTATTGGGTACCAGAGCTTGTAAGCGACTAGGCTAGCGTTTGGAGGGGGTGGGCAGGTCGTTGGCTTTGGCATCAAGTAGCAGTTACAAGCTGAGGATACTCGTAGAGGGCAATCGAGATTCTGTGAGGTACCTCTACAGTATCGCGACTCCCGGTGTCTTTTCGCAGGCGGCCAATTGATATTCTCTGCCTTTCACATGGCGTGCGTCGGTCAACAGCAGGTCAAGATGCAAGCATGATGCCATCCAATATAGCCGTCAGTTGCTCATCCAACTTGATTCAATCTAGAACACGCCTTCTCAGGTGGTTTCCTGGTTCGGGCTGGCGACTTGGCGCCTGAAGACCGACCCCCAGATTGTGGGCACACCATCGTGCAACTTCAGTTCGACTTGGCCATCATGCGCTGCATCTGTGCTTGTACTGTACGTGCAAGTACCGAATACTCTTTTACACGTCAGAGCCTTACGGGAACAAGGGTCATCAATACATTTCGTACGGAGGCAAGGTGGTTTATCCCATGCAACGGCCAAGCGAGTCCGCATTGAATCGCCGCCCCAAGAATCTCAAACAGAGGCCCGGCCAGTCATGTACCTCTACTTCGTACATCATGCTGCTTTGGGGTAAGGCACCTTCACAGACAGCAGCTCGACTTGCCCAATGAACCATTTCGTGCTCGTCATCGGTACGCCGCCATTACTCGCGCCGCTTTGTCTGGGCAGGTACAGGTACTGTGTGCTCGAGTTTCACTCCCCCGGAGGCTTCCTCCGTGTCTCCTGTAGCGATTGTCGCAGCTGAAGAGCACCGCTCTTTTGGCCCCGGCGGCTGGGGAAGGGGTACGGGTACGGGTACGGGTACTGTGAGGGAAAAATCGGTGCTGTACGGGCTTGGCCGCTGGCGTTTAGTGGTGTTACCTCAGTGAATGCTTGGCCATGCCCCTGTTAGGACTTGGATGAGGTACTGGGTACTTGTACATCGCCTCTACACCGGAGTCGCCTCTGAGGTGCCTGATCTGGTCCATGCTACCACAGTATTTGCCGTCGAGCAAAAGAAGTTTCTCTGCTGTTACACACGTCTTTCGGCACTGCTCATGGCGCCGAATAATGTTCCAGCTTTCAAGGTCTGTTCCAGGTTCAGACTTGCTGTGACCTGCGCGACAGACAGGTTTTCCACCTGCACTTTGACGTCCATTCTCACCTTCTACAAGAGGCGCCCGGGCATCTTGCGCATGTACTGGGTACAAGTACCTGTACTTGTACTCCATGCCGTAACGTCTTAGGCGGCCCCACTGAAATGGGTTGGCTCTAGTGGATCGCCGCCTGCCAATCAAGCACCCCTTCACTTTGCACAGCCTCAGCAATGGCAAGGGAACTTGCTGGCAATGCAGAGCGAGCAACCGTTCTCTCCAGTCTCGCCAGTCCTCCCTCGTTTCTTTTTTCCCGTCTTGCGTGCGCGAGGCTCGATTCTTCCACTATACCTACCGCGCAGCCCGTCGATCTGGCCATGTGCTGGCGCTGCTCTTGATTCTCAACAAAGCCGCTGCGGCGACCTCTAGACGACACACCCCCTTGTCGCCTACATATGCCCGAGCAACAATTCTCGATATCAACCTGCCGTCCCTCCCTCAGACACGACCCCCTGGCCGGGCTGCTGGACTTTCACTTCGCCATTCCTTCTGCCTCTCCGCCATAGCCTCGCCCTCTTGACGAATCTCAGCTTGCCCTGCTGCCTCCAGAGGCGGCTGAGCGCTGACCATGGCGGACTCGAATCAGACCGAGCCCTCTGGGCCTCCAACCACCCGACGGAGAGCGTATGTGCTTGACCCCCCGACGCCAATCAGCCTGGCGAGGCTGGTCCCATCTGTGCTCTTGTGGTTAAAGACTGTTGGCTGACCGACTGCTTGCATGCATGCATGTCTCTAGGCCCACGATAACAATTGACACGACTGCCGTCAATTCCAACAGCAACGTGACCGAGGTGACCCAGGACGTCAACGGGCAGCAGCAACCTGCCTATACCAGCGTCTCCCCCAGCTCCCATCCCGACGACGCGACCAGCCCCTCGACCATGGTAGAGCCGCCCTATGGCTTCTCTCAAGGAGGACGTCCCGATTTGCGAACCGACACGTCCTTTGACACCAGCAGAGACAACAGCCGACCTACAAGCCCTCACAACATTTCGACTCCCATTGCCGCGTTGGGCAACGAGCATGGATTCTTGGTCGTGCCGTCGAATAACTTGAGATCGCGACAGAACTCAGTGGACTCGGAGGATGCGTCTCGCTCTTTTGTCTCGGGTGGCGATGCAACAGTGGTGCCGTCCAGCTCGACGCAGACTGACAAGTACAAGACGACACCGACCAACGATAAGATCATGACCGACGAGACGGCATTGAAGCCCGATGCCGGGACCGAGGCCGACTTTGAGGTCGAAAACAACCCATTTGCCTTTACGCCCGGGCAGCTCAACAAGATGTTTAACCCCAAGAACCTCGCGGCCTTTTACCAGCTGGGCGGCTTGCGTGGCTTGGAACGCGGCCTGCGAACGGACCGCAAGGCTGGCTTGAGCACTGAAGAGAATCTGCTGGAGGGACGCGTTACCTTCAGTGAGGCCACGTCAAAGAAGGCCGACAAGCATAATGGCGACGCCGCGCCGCCTCCCGCGAATGCTGCTCGCGTTTCGTCTTCATCAAGCCACAAACCCCAGGGATTCCAGGATCGATACCGCGTCTTCAGGGACAACCGGCTGCCGGAGAAGAAGGGCAAGAGCCTGCTGGAACTCATGTGGATCACCTACAACGACAAGGTGCTGATACTCTTGTCCATTGCCGCCGCCGTCAGTCTCGCTGTTGGTCTCTACCAGACATTCGGTCAGCAGCATGATGCAAATGAGCCAAAGGTCGAATGGGTCGAGGGCGTTGCCATTATCGTTGCCATCGCCATTGTCGTCATTGTTGGATCGCTGAATGATTACCAAAAAGAACGCCAATTTGCAAAGCTGAACAAAAAGAAGCAAGATCGAAATGTTAAGGTTATCCGCTCCGGCCAAACAATGGAAATCTCGGTGTACGATCTCATGGTCGGCGACGTGATCCATCTTGAGCCTGGCGACTTGGTCCCCGTTGATGGAATCCTGATTGAAGGCTTTGACGTCAAATGCGATGAATCCCAAACGACGGGTGAATCGGACATCATACGCAAAAGGAACGCCGACGAAGTCTACGAAGCCATTGAGCATCATGAGAGCCTCAAAAAGATGGATCCTTTCATCCAATCCGGCGCCCGCATCATGGAGGGTGTTGGAACCTACATGGCTACATCGACTGGTATTTACTCCTCTTACGGAAAGACTCTCATGGCGCTCAACGAGGACCCGGAAATGACCCCCCTCCAAGCGAAGCTCAATGTCATCGCCACGTACATTGCCAAGCTCGGCGGTGCTGCTGGTCTTCTCCTGTTCATTGTCTTGTTTATCGAGTTCCTCGTCCGCCTGCCGCATGACCACGGCACTCCGGCCGAGAAGGGTCAGGACTTTCTCAACATCTTCATCGTGGTGGTTACCATTATCGTCGTTGCTGTTCCAGAAGGCCTCCCCCTGGCCGTGACCTTGGCTCTTGCTTTTGCCACCACACGCATGCTGCGGGATGCCAACCTGGTTCGACACCTAAAGGCTTGCGAAGTGATGGGCAACGCGACAACCATTTGCTCCGACAAGACAGGAACCCTGACCCAGAACAAGATGCAGGTCGTGGCCGGGACCGTGGGAATCAACAACGAGTTTAGCAACTCTCGTGCCCAAGATTCAGAGGACGACGGCCAGGTGTCCGCCCCGGAGTTTGTCACCAAGCTGAGCGCCCCTGTTAAGGACCTGCTCCTGGACTCTATTGCACTCAACTCGACGGCATTCGAAGGTGACGTTGAGGGGGAAAAGACCTTCATTGGCTCCAAGACCGAGACGGCCCTTCTCCTCTTTGCCAGGGACCACCTGGGCATGGGCCCCGTCAGCGAGCTTCGGGAAAACTCGACCACTCTGCAGCTAATTCCCTTTGATTCTGGCCGCAAATGCATGGGAATCGTTGTCCGCCTCCCTGACGGAACTCCTCGACTATACGTCAAAGGCGCCTCGGAGATTCTGCTTGCTCAGTGTGAGCAGACCCTGCACGATCCATCGTCAGGCGCCGCTGTCGTGTCCATGTCGCAAGAAGATGTCGACGCGATCAGCGAGCTCATTGTTAAGTACGCAAAACGTTCTCTGCGAACCATTGGTCTCTGCTACCGAGATTTTGAGTCCTGGCCTCCGCGCGGTCTTCGCAGCGGCGAGAACAAGGGCGAAGTCTTGTTCGAGGATCTCTTCCAAAAGATGACATTTGCCGGCATGGTGGGTATCCAGGATCCTCTTCGAGAGGGCGTCGCCGAGGCTGTCAAGCTTTGTCAATCGGCCGGCGTTGTTGTTCGCATGGTCACTGGTGACAACAAGATTACCGCCGAGGCGATTGCCAAGGAATGCGGAATCGTGCAGTCCGACAGCGTGGTTATGGAAGGCCCCGAGTTCCGCAACTTGGGCAAGCTCAAGCAAAAGGAAATCATCCCTCGGCTGCACGTGCTTGCGCGATCCAGCCCCGAAGACAAGCGCATCCTGGTCAAGCGACTCAAGGAGATGGGAGAGACCGTTGCCGTGACTGGCGATGGTACCAACGACGCTCCCGCTCTCAAGATGGCCGATGTTGGATTTTCCATGGGTATCGCGGGTACTGAAGTTGCCAAGGAGGCGTCGGCAATTATCCTCATGGATGACAACTTCGCCAGCATTGTCAAGGCTCTGAAATGGGGCCGTGCCGTCAACGATGCCGTCAAGCGATTCCTGCAGTTTCAGCTCACCGTCAACATCACCGCCGTCATCCTCACCTTTGTCACTGCTGTGTCCAGCGAGTCTGAGAGTTCCGTCCTGACGGCCGTCCAGCTGCTCTGGGTCAACCTGATCATGGACACGCTGGCGGCTCTGGCCCTCGCCACGGATCCTCCACAGGATAGTGTTCTGGACAGGAAACCCGAGCCCAAGGGCTCCTCCATCATCTCGCCCACCATGTGGAAGATGATTATCGGACAAGCGCTGTACCAGCTGGCCATTACGTTCCTGCTGTACTATGGAGGTGTCAAGGTCGTCGGGCCTGTTGTTGGAGATGACAATCTCAAGCATGAGGACATTGAGACGCTGGTCTTTAACACCTTTGTGTGGATGCAAATCTTTAACCAGTGGAAGTAAGTTAGCCTGAACAGCCTACCTAAAGCCTACCTGATTTCATGAGATGCTAACCGATTCTCTAGCAACCGACGCCTGGATAACAAGTTCAACATCTTTGAAGGCCTTACACGCAACTGGTTCTTCATTGCCATCAGCACGCTCATGATGGGTGGTCAGATCCTGATTGTCTTTGTGGGTGGCGCTGCCTTCCAGATTGCGAGGAAGGACCAGTCCGGAGGCATGTGGGGGATTGCCCTCGTGCTTGGCATCATCTCCATCCCTGTTGGCATGCTCATCCGCCTGATCCCCGACAGCTTCGTCGTCAAGCTGGTGCCCGAGTTCCTTAAGCGACGCGCGAAGCAGGTACCTGGCCTGACAGTCTCGGACGAGGAGATGGACATGTACCCAGAGCCATTGGCCGATGTGCGCGACGAACTTAACTTTCTGAGGCGCATGAAGGGAGGGCGCCTCAACAACCTAAAGTTTGCCATCCAGCACCCGAAGGAGATGATTGCACGGTCTAGGAGCCAGTCTCACTCCCGATCCAACTCATTCAATGCCTCATCGGAAACGCAGGGCCGCGAGGACAGCTTCCCCTCGCGCGACGCCACCCCCATTTCGCAACAGCGCTCGCGGTCGACCCGGTCGACTCGGTCGCGCTCCAACTCTGCGCTTGGAGCGCCCACGGTCATGGCCGGAATTGTCGCCGCCGGAGTAGCGGCAGGCTGGTCACCGATCGGCCGACCCTCGGCAGAGGACAGGGAGGCCATGATGCAGCTCTACCAACAGCAACTACAGCAGCCAAGAACAGAAGGTGGTTCGGAGCAGGGACAGAAGCCCGCAGAGGGGCACAGCAACGAGGTGCAGAAATAGGCGTAATGGGAGTTGAAGGCTTTGCATACTACGATTCCCCATGGGTATGATGATTTGTTTATATCTTTTAGTTCCCCCTCCATACTCTTCTTTCTCTTACCCGCTCTCTCTCTCTTGCCCCCCTTCTTATCTCCTCTTTCCGATCTCTCGTTTCTTTTTCTTCTGGGTAAAACATTGCATAGGCTTGTTGCTTTAGACGGTCTCGGCTGCGCTTTTGCAATTATTGATAGACGGAACACACACACACACTTTGACACATTGGTAATGCGATGAAGAATAAAACTTGAAAGTAATGGCTTTTCTCTTCCTTTTTTGTTCTTTGATATACCTCTTTTAGTATTCTTATCAAGCATCATTACTCGTTATTGTCATGTTGTATGTGGAGACGTTTGCTTTTTCGATGCGTTTCTCTGTGTCTTGTTGTATGCGATGTGTTGCAGTTTAATGAAGGTGGGTGAAACGGAGAAGAGGAGTGTACATGATGCTCATGACGTTACGGCATGAGTTCAATTTGCGGTCAGCTTGATTTATGATGGCAGAAGAGTACACGAGAACCTCCATAGCAGCCGTATAATATTACAGTGTTTGGTGATTCTGATACATTGGCATTGGCATTTGCCATGTTCCGTTTCTTCTAATTGCATTATACGGCGAAGGATTTCTTGTGATCACATCAAGACATCCAAGCTTTCTCGTTAGGAAAGTCGACTAGAAGGCGTCTGCAAAGTGAGTAAATGTTTGGTTGGTGTTATGTGCCTATGTGTCATTCTTTGTCTGACATTCGGGGAGACTGAGCTGCAGCTAATGGCGCAAGGGGGAGAGAGAGGGGGGGAGGGTGTTGGGGGAATGATGGGTGCCTGAAGGATGGGGATGGATGGGAAAGGTCGTGTGAGTTGTGTGTGTGTGTGCGTGTGTGAACGGTGGTGTGTTGGGGATCAAGAGGTGATTGATAATAGGGGAGGCGGGATGGGATTTTGAAGAGTTGAGATTGATGTGCTTTTTTTTTTTTACTGGAGATGTTAACCGAGAGGCTTTTGATATATACTTTTGAGGTGGCGTTCTACCGGTATTGTCTCTCTTGTCATGCTGAGCAGGATGCAGATGAGAACAAGAGTCGACGGATGATACGGGAGGTTTGAGATGGAGGGAAGCAACCGTTGAGGTAGCAGTCATGGTTGAACTCGTATGTAGGTATTACTAGCACTCGGTATTACAATAGTAGTTTATCGCTCGATGCGGTAATAATGAGAGGCCACTTTTAAGGTATTGTCGGGCATGGGTTTTACCTGGGGGGGTTTTACCACTTTTTTTACTTACTGTTAGTTCTGTGCCGGGAGAAGAGAGGATATGGAGTGACCTTTTGCTCTGGGGGCCAAACACGTGTTTGGGTATGTGTCTCTTCCTTGCTCCGGTACTTCGTCTTCTGGATGAGTTCTCTCTACGGGCTGCGGGCGTTTGTGTGGCGGATGGATGTGCATGCCGTGATCCGAATTATCTGGATGGAGAAGTAAATGTATGTGCCATTGTTTGCTTGCAGGACCGCGTGGGTATACTGGCATTTTCTAGGAGAGGGGGGAAAAGAAGTTTGAATGGATGGGACTGGGTTAGCGAGTTTGATGTGGCTTGCCGGGTGTGAGGTATCTATCTGTATGAGAGGTATTGTCGTAAAGACGAGAAGTAAACGGTGTATGGTATGTATGAGTAAGTGACTGATCAGGTTTGGGAAGGAAGAGAGAGGGGAAGCATTTGATGCAGCATTGGGCGAATTGTCTATCTAATGCATGCTCCAATGTCTCTTTTAGAAGATGAGAAGAACAAGAGAGAGAGAGATAAGGTAGATACAGAGAGGAAGAGTATTACCTACTTTGTGTGTGATGCTGATGCGTCTCAATCTGTATGTCTTGCAATGTATCACACCAAGGGAGTTGGCATGAGGAGAGAAGAGTCGTGGTTTGACGGGCTAAAATGACGGGCGAGATACGTGGACGACTGTGACTTGCGAGGAGACAAGAGCGTGTACTTGATTGAGATGGACGCTGTGAATCACAACATGCTGCGAGTTGTTTATCTTGTGGCAACGGGGTAAGACGACGAACAATTACCTACTAGGTAGAACACTGTTGATTTGATGTATTATTGATTGATTGATTGATTATGCTTCCTCTGTATTGATTGTCCTTGAGTCGGATACCTGACTCTGCTCAATGCCAGGCAAATAAGAGGTATATTAGGATGTACCCCCCCCCTCTGTAAAAACCCCCTTGGCTCTTTTTTTCTTATTTTTTTCCCCCGTTACCCTTTTCTTCTATTTCTAGCACGTCGGATCTACTTCATACTGTTTAAACCAACTCTCCTACAGTACTCGGTTTATGCTACTTGCATCTTGGAATTTCTCCTTCCCATTTCCTTGTTCTTATCCATTTTTTTTTTCTCTATCTCAAGACTTAAACTAGACCATTTCGCGTCCTGTTGCAACCAACCTTTTGTTTCTTCTCCCACTCTCCAATTCTTCTCTCTTCTTCCCCTTTCTCTCCATCTCTGCGTTCTTCACTTGACGCCTCGTTTCCCCGTCTTGACTCGTCACTTTTTCCGCCGTGAGCCGTTTTGGTTCAGTTGGGCGCCAGTGCGTCATCCAGCGGTTGTCAGCAAAGCAAAGCAAAGCAAAAAAACATAGACACACCCTGTGTTAATCGTCTCGAGCATCGGCCCTCCATCCATCCATCTCACCTCCTCCCATCTCAACATATCCCAAGCAAAAACAACAACAACAACAAAAAAACAAGGAAACGCACCGAAAGACACCAACCATATAGAATCAACCCCGGTTCATCAGCGCGTGGCAACTCGGGCGCTTTCCTGGCAGCTTGTCGCGGCAACTTTGCGGCTCGGTTCCACAACTCCCTTTTGATTCACGCCTCCGCCGTCTTTGCCCGTTTCTTTGTCTGCTTCACCCACCTTTTTTTTTTTTTTTCTATCTCTCCTTCATCTCCCCTTGCGCAAATCTTTCCATCTTTCTTCTTCTTCTTCTTCTTCTTCTTTCTCAGGGTCTTTCGCAAAAGGCCTCCCTTTTGCTAATCTCGTCCTTTTCCCTTCTTTCTTTTCTCTCTCTCTCTCTCTCTCTCTCTCTCTCTCTTGGCTCTGATTCGGATACGCATCTGGTTTCCTCCTGTCTTTGTCCTGCTCTCCCGCCATATTACGTGTGCCGTGTGCTGGGACTTCATTTACTTGAGGCTTCAATAGGCAGCCGTCCACCAAGGCACGCGTCATAAAAAAGGAAAACAAGGGCAGAAATCCGGGCGTGTCTCAAACTGTCATTGATCCTCCAAAGATGAAGCGAGCACCTGCAGGCAAAAAGGGCGTGGCCCTCTCCAAGCGCAGCCAGGCGGCGGCAGATGCCTTTGACCGGCTGCCCGACAACCCGACGATTGAGGAGATCAAGGAGGCGACGGTCAACGTGTCGCTGGCGGAACTCGAGGAGAGAGTTGCCGACGTGCGCGACTCGTGGGAGACGGACTCGCTGCTGGAGGATGCGATTGAGGAACTGACGGACGAGAGTGGAGTGTATTCTGGGAGTAAGTTGCCACCCTCGCTGGTTTTGAAGCTCGATTCCGTGTGATTCCGTGGGCGTTTCCGTCGTTTGTTGGTATCGTCGTCGTTGCATCTCCGGGCGACAAAAGGGCCTCGAGTTGTCCTGTGTTGTCTGGTTTCGGCTGTCACTCTCGGGCTGCCTGGGGGATTGCGTGGGCGGATGCTCTTCATCTCACCACTTTTGTGGTGGTGGCTTCATCTGCACCCATGACAACCGCCCCCCCCAAAAGCCGAGGATGGACCAGCCAGAGCCACGGTCGCAACTAGCTGTTGGTGGCAACCAACGCCGGCTTGGAACCGGCATCTCTGTGTTCCTGTGGCCCCCCCTACTCTAGCCATGAATTGCCTCAGCGTGTTGAGGTCTGGACACTGCCTCTACCACATGATGGATCGATCACCAAGCTTCGAGATGACGAGACACAATGAGCTCAGCGCTGACTCTTGTCCAACCCGCAGGACCAGACACTTGCACGCCCGAGGAGGCCTGCCGGCTGCGCCGCGAGCTGCGTGAACTCGGCCCTGCCGTCTTCTGCCAGCGCACCGTCGATGCCGGTCGCTACAGTGCAAAGAAGCTGCTCAGCGCCTTTGGCATCCGGCCGCCGGCCTTCCTCGAGGGCCAGCCGGATGAGGCCTACTTCAGCCTCCTGTCGCTGGCCATCACGCGGGAGCTGTCCAAGAGGGCCAAGCTGATGCGCTACAACACCGTGGACGACGCCGTGCGCCTCATCGACAAGAGCCAGAACATCATCGTCATCACCGGCGCCGGCATCTCCACGTCGCTGGGCATCCCCGACTTCCGCTCTCAGGGCACCGGCCTGTACTCGAAGCTGGCGCACCTGGGCCTCAGCGACCCCCAGGAGGTGTTTGACATCGAGGTCTTCAAGCAGGATCCCACCATCTTCTACTCCGTCGCCAAGGACATCATCCCGTCCACCGACCGCTTCACGCCCACCCACAAGTTCATAGCCATGCTGCACGAGCGCGGCAAGCTGCTCACCAATTACTCGCAAAACATTGACAATCTCGAGATCAAGGCCGGTCTGCCCAAGGAGAAGCTTATTCAGTGCCACGGCTCGTTCGGCACCGCCAGCTGCGTCCAGTGCCGCTACCAGATCGAGGGCGAGAAGATCTTTTCCGATATCCGGGCCGGCAAGATCCCGCGATGCACCCGGTGCCTCTCGTCGCTCAAGGCCGCCGGCGCGCCGAAGCGGAAGCGATCCGCGGGCGCCGAGAAGAAGCGCAAGCGCTGGGCCGAGCAGGACAGCTCCGACGACAACAACTCCGAGTACGACGTGCCGAGCGCCGGCGTCATGAAGCCCGACATCACCTTCTTTGGCGAGGAGCTGCCCGACGAGTTCTCGCGCCGCCTGACGGAGAACGACCGCGACAAGGTCGACCTGGTCATTGTCATTGGCACCTCGCTCAAGGTGACGCCCGTGTCCGAGATTGCCAGCTTCCTGCCGCCGCACATTCCGCAGATTTACATTTCGCGCCAGTCCGTGACGCACATCAACTTCGACATTGACCTGCTGGGCGACTGCGACGTCGTCGTTGCCGAGCTCTGCCGGCAGCTCAAGTGGCCGCTCGTGCACGAGATGGTG